CAATCCCGAGAAGATCCAGGCCATCATCAACATGGAGCCCCCACGTAACGTGAAGGAAGTTCAACGGTTGACGGGCCGCCTGGCAGCCCTCAACCGCTTCCTATCTAAATCGGCAGAGAAGTCTCTACCCTTCTTCCAGATCATGAGGAAGACGGCTGGCTTTCTATGGACTCCAGAATGCCAGGGGGCTTTCGACGAGCTCAAAAGATATTTATCTTCACCTCCTGTGCTCTCCAAACCCAAGGTAGGGGAGACCCTCTACCTCTACCTTGGGGTTAGCCCGGCGGCCATCAGCTCTGTGCTCATCCGGGAGGAAGACGGCATCCAACATGCCATCTTCTATGTTAGCAAGACCCTAAGGGAGGCCGAACTCAGGTACTCCCCTGTGGAAAAAACGGTGTTAGCCATCGTTTGGACTGTCAAGAAGTTGGGCCACTACTTTCAGGCTCACCCGGTTCAGGTCCTCACCCATCAACCCCTCGGCGCCCTCATGAGGAGCCCCACCAGCTCCTCCCGCATGGTGAAATGGGCTATCTTCTTGAGCCAGTACAACATTGACATCCGTCCAAGGCCTGCCATCAAGGGCCAAGCCCTAGCGGACTTTGTGACGGAATGTACCGTAAGAGCAGCCACGGACGGGGAGCCCTCGGCTACCTCGGACGACTGGTGGACCCTCTACACTGACGGCTCATCCGCGACCAAAGCATGCGGGGGAGGGGTAGTCCTCATTACTCCCGAGGGCTTCAGGGCCTACTATGCAATCCGCTTCTCCTTCAAAGTCTCCAACAATGAGGCCGAATATGAAGCCCTCCTATGTGGCCTTCGGCTGGCTGCCAACATGAGGGCTCGGCAGATCCACATCAAATGCGACTCCAAGTTGGTCGTTGGCCAAATATCCGAAGAATATGAGGCCAAGGAAGGAAGAATGAAACAATACAAGGAAGCGGCCAAGGAGTTGCTTAAGGTATTTGAGGCACACTCTCTCACTCAAATACCGAGGGCTCAGAACTCCGAAGCCGACATATTATCTAAACTCTCGGCAGACTCCCCCGAGCACATCTCCAAGATTGCCAAAATCGAGGAACTCAGCCTCTCAAGCATCCATGCAAGCCCCGTGATGAACATACAACAACGTCAGGAGAATTGGATTTCAGATATCACCGCCTTCATCTCCGCAGGGCAGCTACCCGAGAATGAGGCCCGCGCTAAACTGGCAAAGCTGAGGGCTCCCAGCTACACCATCGAAGATGGAAGGCTCTACAAACGATCTTACAATGGCACGCTACTTCGGTGCCTTCATCCAGATGAAGCCGAGGTCGCAATGGAGGAAGTGCACAGTGGCACTTGCTCAGCTCACCAGGGACCCTTCTCCATGTCCCGAAGGCTCATTCTCCAGGGCTACTTCTGGCCAACCATGGCCAGGGATTGTGCTGACCTCGCCCGAAGGTGCACCGCATGTCAACATTTCCAGAAAGCCCCCGGCAGGCCAGCGGTCAACTATGCCCCCATCAGCACATCTGTCCCATTTTCTCGATGGGGGATAGACCTTGTGGGCCCTCTGCCGAGGGGTACCTCCAACAACAGATACATCATTGTGGCCGTCGACTATTTTACCAAGTGGGTGGAGGCTGAACCCCTCGCCAGCATCACAGAGGCGAAGTGCCGTCACTTCGTCCTCAAGAACATCCTCACAAGGTTTGGCGTCCCCCAGCAGATCATCTCCGACAATGGAACACAATTTGAGGCAGCCCCCTTCTGCGCCCTTCTGGAGGCATGGGGCATCAAACACACCTTCTCCTCCGTTGCCTACCCTCAAGGCAACGGGCAGGTAGAGAACGCCAACCGGACCTTGCTCGAGGGCCTCAAAAAGAAGCTGGAGGCCGAGGGTGGTGGCTGGGTGGAAGAACTTCACAACATCCTCTGGGCCTACCGCACTACCCCTCGGCGCGCTAAAGGTGAAACACCCTTCTCCCTCTGCTACGGTTTTGAAGCCAAAGCTCCTACGGAAGTCACCCTTCCTACCCGAAGGGTGATCCAATATGACCCCGAGGTCAACGACAGCAACATGGCCCTCGACCTGCACCTCATTTCAGAACGCCGGGAGCAGGCCTTCATCCGGGCAGAAAACTACCGAAGGCAAGTTAAAAGCTACATCGACGCCAAAGTTCGAACCCGGGAATTTCAAGTGGGGGACTATGTCCTCCGGAGGAGGGAAGCCAGCCAACCAACCGAGGGAGGAAAAATTGCACCAAAATTCGAAGGCCCCTACATCATAGCAGCCATCATCAAACCCGGGACTTACAAACTCAAACGCCCCAACGGGAAAGAGGTCCCTAGGCACTGGAATGTACACCATTTAGTTAAATTTTATCAATAATGTAAGAGCGGCCAAGCCCTCATAACTAGTGAATGTACTATCCAATGGCCCAAGGCCTCCAATTTCGAAGAATGGAGATACATTCAAGACATCAAGCCCTCATACTGACTACAGGCCCCAGGCCTCACCACAAGGAGAACCCCCTCCAGTACTCAGTGCCGAGGGCGGACACCATCAACACTTACAACAAACAATAGAAACACCACGCGTTTTCAGTCAAGACCCCTCGGCACCCAGTGCCGAGGGTACTTCCCCACCTTCAACATCAAAAAAGAAAAGATTAGAACACCAAGTGTTCCTACAGAAGACCCTTCGGCACCCAGTGCCGAGGGCACACCTCCCTCATCAAATATCGAAACGAAGAAAAAACACCAGGTGTTTCAAAGAAGACCCCTCGGCACCCAGTGCCAGGGATATGCTCTCCTAACAGCTTCCAAACATCTATTGGGAAACACCAAGTGTTTCATTTGAAGACCCTTCGGTACCAAGTACCGAGGGTAGACGCCTACATCAACTACAACAAGAGAACACCAAGTGTTCCTACAGAAGACCCCTCAGTACCAAATACCGGGGGGCTACACATCGAAACTAACACCAAGTGTTGTTTCTAAAAGCCGTACCCCACGAGGACGCATATACCGAAGGCGCCACCATCGGTGCCGGCGGCACGTAGTGCCCCCGGCCATTTGCAACTAGTGTGCAAATGAAAACCCTTCCTTGAAACGCTTTCCGCGTCACTACCCCCAGGGTATGACAGGCATGAGAAATGCCCAGGATTCGACTTTCAAAAATGGAACGCTATCTGCGTCACTACCCCCAGGGTATGACAGGCATGAGAAATGCCCAGGATTCGACTTCCAAACCGAAACGCTCCCCGCGCCACCACCCCAAGGGTGTGGCAGGCCACAGACTATGTCTAGCGCCGAGGGGACGACTTTCAAAAATGAGGCGCTTTCCGCGCCATCCCCCAAGGGGAGGCAGGTTACGGACCACCATATCTTGTGCCCAGGAAACGTCCCTCGATCCCCTCGGCACTCGGAAGGTTAACCCGAGGGAGGAGAGCCATTGGTGTATTCTGAAGGTCTCCTAATAGGCCCAGCCTTACCAAGAAACCAAGTTTCTTGATGCCTTCCCTTCACCACCAACCAAAAAAAAAAAAAGGTGAAGGGGAGTAGACTCAGCGAGAAATCGAAGAGTACACACCAACAATATCACAGCATGCCGAGGGCTCCCCACGGGAACACCTCCGGTAATTGAAGACTCCTATTTCCCGAAGGATACTACTCAAAGAAATATCATCAGGAAACGGCTAAAGTCCACTACCTGGTCACCTCCGATCACAAAAACATCGAAGGCTTCAACAATACAAAGGGACTGGACTGTCCAAGGTCCACTAAACGGTACTTCAAACAAACACCGAAGGCATCTGTTATGCGCAAATACCGAGGGCCCTTTCCCCATGACAAGGGTCCAATTCTACAACTTTCAAAGTGTATGCCGAGGGCACACACTCCTCATTGGCTTTCTTCACAACAACAGGATTCAACATCAATTTATGCTTAGAAAAAATTCTAAGTCCTGAAGGAGCAGCCCCCGGGCACCCGAAGGCTACACAGGGAAGCAGCACTTGAAAAAATTCTAAGTCCTAAAGGTGGAGCCCCCGGCCCAATCAATATTACAGCCAAGGGAATATGGTGGCCGAAGGCCATGCAATACAACAACACTTAAAAAAAGAGAGGGTATTCTGTCCTAAATGAGTAGCCCCCGGGCATCTCGCAAAGTGATGTGGAATCAGAGGGCACCCATCACCCGAAGGCACCCAAGGGAAAATTCACACTTAGAATATTTTCTAAGTCCTACATGTATTTCCCCCCCGGTCAACTACTCTTACATCAAGGAGAGATGCCATCTACCGAAGGCTCCCAAGGGGGGATTTTACACTTAGAAGATTTTCTAAGTCCTACATATTTTCCCCCCCGGTCAACTACTCATACACCATGAAGGGATGCCATCTCCCGAAGGCTACCAAGGGAAACTCTACACTTAGAAGATTTTCTAAGTCCTACATATTTTCCCCCCGGTCAACTACTCATACACCATGAAGGGATGCCATCTCCCGAAGGCTACCTATCAATCGAGGGCTACGGTACACAATGAAAAAACACTCAAGAAAATCTTCTAAGTCCTAAAGACTTAGCCCCCAGCCTATTCAACATTACAGGTGGGGCTCCACAGTAGCCGAAGGCTACATGGCATACTACACTTGCAAAAATCTCTAAGTCCTGTGCATTGGGCCCTCGGTCCAACGTTCACACATCAGGAATGGGCGCCGTATCCCGAAGGCTCTCAAGGGGGAATTTACACTTAGAGATTTTTCTAAGTCCTAGGAGGTGGGTTACTACGAACGCCCGAAGGCCTCATGCTGTGCTACACTTAGAAAAAATTTTCTAAGTCCTAATTGCTGCCGAACCATCGGTTGCATATCCAGCAGAGGGTGCCCAACTACCGAAGGCTCCTAAGGGCTAGCTACAATCAGATGGTATTCTAAGTCCTAAGACATACATTCAAAGGAACAAGACATACATTCAAAACAAAGACGAAGGCATACATTCAACAATGAAAAGATCAGAAGGAAGCATATCATATACACCAAGCCCGAAGGCAATCATTCAATTACAACACAAAAATAGTCAATGTGATCATTACAGAGTGTGGCCAAAGCCGAGGGGCAACAAAAGTTTCATTACAAGGCTTTTTTAAAAAAAAAATTAACTAAGTAATAATCTTCTCGGCAGCTTCAGCCTCGTTGTCACCGGGGGCATCTTCCACGACAGCCTTGGAGGAGACTTCTTCTCCGGCAGCATCACCCCCGATGGCTCCAACCCCGTCACCCCCCATCATCACAGAATCATAGATTGTTGGCCGCTCTTCACCCGGGGGGAGGGGAACTCTGACATCTGGTTGCAACGGAGGGAGGCCGTATACCGAGGGGTCAAATTGTTCGAGGGATACACCGAAGTGCCTGGCGAGCCTCCGGTATATCAGGTGCTGGGTAAAGAACTCACCCCCCTGATAGTAGGCGTCGCCCCTATCGGTCAACCAGTCAACCCCGGGGCCTTCTACCCAAGCATCCACCGAGGCTGCCACCACGGAGGCAACCCACTCCTTATGGCCCTCGGCCCTCCAGCCCTCAGCAAGGAACTCCGCAACTGCCTCCCCTCGGGCCTCGGCCGCAGCTCTCTCCTTAGCAGTTTGGGCTTCATCGGCGGCTTTCTTTGCCGCCTCGGCAGCAGCCCTCTCGGCCTCTGCCTTGCCTTCGGCTATACCATCAGCCTTGGCCTTCTCCGCCGCCGCCTTCGCCTCCCGAAGGGCCTCCTCCAGCTGGGCAGCATGCTTCACCGCCTCGGAGTTCTTACGGATCAGCCCCTCCACCTTCTTATCCTGGGCGGCCTCGTGAAGACGCCTTTCCTCGCGCCTCCGGGCCTGTTCCCCGAGGGCTATGCAGGCCTGCGAACAATTATCAAAGGAGTTAGATTGTTCCTCAGGAAAAAATAAGACTACACTGACAAGATAAGGAAAAAGGAAGCGGATACTTACAGTGAGCGAGGAGCGGAGGATCCTGTTCTCGAGGGCATCGTCATCGTAGGTCTCGAAGACTTCCCTGTCCATCTTCGAGGTGATGCCCCGCAGGAAGGCCTTCGGCTCGGCAGTGTCGTGCATCAACGAAGCGCCGGGGGCAAAGGAGAGCTGACGGATCTCCCGGGGTAATTCCTCCCGGGGGGGTTCACCGGATCCTTCGGAGAGACCGAGGCTAGAGGCCCATCAACAGCGGGCATGTCATCAATAATTACGAGGGGGGCCGCCCCCCCGACAGCACCCACGGCGCCTTTCTGTTTCTTGGTGGGGGGCTCCACCCCCTTGTCGCCCCTCTTCTTCTTGGCAGCCGCCTCGACCTTCGACCCCCCCGGTCCCCACAGCAGCATGGGAGTCCCCGGCGGAAGGTTCTATGACCTTCGGGAAAAGCGCGTCGACTGGCTTCTGGCTCGAGGGCCCCTTCTCCTTGGACTGGGTCTTGCCCTTCCTCTTTGCGAACAAAGCGTTGGCATTCATCCTGCTACCTGCAGAGAAACAACAAGTTAAAATGTTAGCACCGAGGGGTTCGAGACACGACAACAAACATGACAGAAAATCTCAAAGTACAAAAATGTAAAGCCCCCGGCCACTACCTCCTGCCCCCACGAAGGCTTTATCATAGAGGGGATACTTCTCCTCGGTCTCCCCAATGAACCGATACCTCAGGAATCCGAGGGCATACAGGTCTTTCTCGAGGGTGCACTCCTTGATGGTTATGTTCTTATCCCGCCCCTCCAGAATCTCGGCAATCTTCAGGCCATCCTTCTCGAGGGCGGCGCTCTTGACCTTCACATGACGCCGGAAGCAATTCCGCAACTCCCTCGGGAAAGGGCTGTCGGCCAGTCTGATGTAGCACCATCGCTCTCTCCACCCCTTGTTGGAAGAAGGGGCCTCGGTGAACAATTTGAACTGGGCTATCTGCTGTAAGTTCGCATAGCCCTCGGCATTGGTATGGCCCCCCCGGCATAGGTTGAAGCTTTGGAAGAATAGCTCCAAGCTCGGTGTAACCCCCCGGAGTTTGCACAGGTTCACGAACCCAGTTATGTACGAGTGGCTATTGGGGGTCAGTTGGCAGGGAACCAGGCCGGTGTACCTCAAGTACTCCCGGAGGAACGGATGGAGAGGGAACCGGAGGCCCATCGAGACCGAGAGCACGTGTACGGCTATACATCCCTCGGGGGGACGCGACAGCACATCATCAGGACCCGGCTCGACTACTACGGCCGAGGGCCCTACGTGCAACTGGGTGATGTAGATATCCGCCCTGTCAGCTTGGGACTTTATCTCCAGAGCGGCGGTGTCCAAGAATGAGTAACCCTCCGGCAGATCTACTGGCCCCCCTTGATCGACGGCCCTTACTTTCTTCTGGGGGCCAGCCTTCGTCTTCCTCTTCTTCTTCCCGAGGGCCACCCGGATGGGAACTGCATTCAGCGGCTGGGAGGTACTGGCCTCACCAGCACCCCGAGGGGGAAGGACGGCCACAGTGACCTTCGCCCTCTCCTTTTCTTCTTCCTCCTCAGCAACCTGGACGGCGAGGGCTAACTCCTCATCTTCCGAGGTCCGCTCGAATTCCTCCGCCTCGGCCTCGGCCGTCAGATCCTTCTCCACCTCAGTGGCGAGGGCTACGTCACCACCATCCGAGGGCTGACTGCTGCTGGACTCCACGTCGGAGATGCCTTCGTCCTCCATCGAGGGCGTCCTCGAGATGTCCTGAGAGTCACTCTGGGACGACATTCTACACTCTAGCTCGAGGGTTCGGGGGAACTAAGGTTCCTAGTGAATTCTATCTCCTAAACTAAAGGCACAGTACAGCTATGCTAGAAGGAGAAAGGCAGGGAGCACTGACCTCGAAAGCTGAGTTTTGACCGAAGGCTGAACCTTCTCTCTCTAGAAAAATTGACAGAGCTTCGCTAACAAGTTTATCGCACACGGAGGAATGCCTGGCCTTGGGGTATTTATAGGCGATGAATCCGGGCTTGGGCCTGGATTCCGGGCCTCCGGATGGACGCCATCATTACACACCGCCGTTTCACCCAACCGGTGACGCCGCCCACGGACAACCAGCCTTCACACGCCACGTGTGCCACCCCCCCAACGGCTATATCCTGTCGTTACATATTCCAACGGCTATATTTTCAACGGCTATATTTTGGGAACCCCCGGGTTTTCTACTTCACTCCACTTCATCAAGGATAGCCTCCGGGTGCACTCACCCAGAAGTACCCCCAGGTTGTGCCCCACAGCGCACATTACACACGCCTTCGGGATCACTCCTTCAGATCCCTAGGGCTACATATCAGGGTACCCCTCGGGTATTCCCCTCAGCACCGCAAAACCGGGTAGACCCCGGGGAATGCCTCATTGACGGATGGCCCATGGCCCTCGGGTATCTTAATCACCACTCCATCAACATACAGTGGACCCCCCGGTAACAGCTTCACTGCTGCCCTCATCTGGCAGGCCCTCGATCCCTGGATTGAGGGGCTCCCCTTCGGCGCCACCAGGACATCAACAGCCAGCCTTCGGCTAATCAACACAGGAGCCCTCAGAAGAGAGAGCCTTCGGGATTCCCGTCATTCTCCATTTTTTACCAAAGTTGGACATTTTCGATTCATCATTGGGGGAATTCGGTGCACTCTTTTTCCCTCATTAGGATTTTTTCCCAAAGGGTTTTTCCTAATGAGGTTTTTAACGAGGCATCCCCCCAAAATGAAACGAAAAGCGTCAGCCTTCGGCCCACAACAGCAACGTAACTACTTTACTCCTTTTCACCACTTTACAAGTGCCTCAAGGAGTGGGGGACTGGAGGACCCCTTCGGGAAAATCATTAAATTACAAAATATGTGAAATTCCAACAAACAACAAAGCAAGCCCTCAAGTCCCGACATGTGGGTAACTGAGGGACCGCCTTCGGCAGGGACATAAAAGCAACAACTCCTCACCAACTTCAGAGATCACAACGGGACAACATCAAATGGCAAGCACAAATTACTCCTTTTCCCTCAAGTACCTTTCGGCAAAAGGAGTGAGGGACTCCTGATGGAGTATATGGCCCGGGAACCCCCGGCCCACATACTCCTACTACTCCAGCAAAGGCCCAACAGGCCCAAAAGGCCCAACAGGCCCAAAAGGCCCAACAGGCCCAATTCACAGCGCCCGGAGTACCAAGCAGTCCGCACAACGCACAGGGGTGCCTTCGGCCCCCTGGCCGAAGGCTCCAAATTCTCACAGAACGGGTTTCTCAAGAAAACTAAGAAACTGGGAGAAAACGGCGAAAACAGCAGCCCTCGGCACTATGAGCCCTCGGCACCAGGGGTGCCATCGGGAGGAAGAGCCCTCGGATGGTGCTCTATAGCCGAAGGCATCTCACTCGACAAGATATCCGCCTCACATGCCTACAGATCACCGTATTCTGCACAGACGTCCCATCCAACAGCCGCATTAAATGCGGCCACATGCGGCTGCCAGCGCCAACAAGTTGAGGTGACCCCTCGGCCAATGAGCGCTTGACACGTGTCCCTGCCCGGCATTTATTGCTGCTATAAATAGCACCCCATTTCCTCATTTGTAACCACGCTGAAAAGCCATAACACGCTTAATACATATCGAATATACACTCTCTCTCTTACTTACTTGCTCTGACTTCTCTCTAAATTACTCCCCGTAGTAACCCTTCGGATATATACCCCCGGGTAGACTATCCATCACATATACTTCTTGATGTCCTTGATCCAAAAATACCATGCTTTTAATCACACAAATACACATTTTGGATCCCTGGATCATCACACAATATATTATCATATTTTTAATCACCAAACCTACATAACATGCTTTTCAACTATGTTTTATGCAAAATCATGGCATTAGCAAATACTTGATTATCTTTAATCATTCCACAAAACATATCCTTGATTACTTTAGGTAATCTCATGCCTAACGCAAAAGTTATAAAGCATAAAGCCGTCTTCTCACCTTAATGAAGCTTATGAAGTTCTAGCCTTCCCGATTTAGCTCCGACGAAACTCCGGCGAACTTCAACGAACTCCGGCGACAACTCCGGCGACCTTTTCAACTCCGTGAAAGTTCATTGAATACCTTAGACAAGTTACTAACAAGGTTTTATCATCATAAAACCCATAGTAATACAAATAACCTCAAAAAGGTTATTTTCCGGCGAACCGGTCACTTGGCTTCTAAGTCCGTTCTTGGACTTAGAACTACCTTCCAACCCCTCTTTCTACACATCCCAACGTGTGGAACATTACTAGGGTGTGAAATATGATTGAATAATCATAAAAGAGTATTGAAGAACAAGGAATGGGATTAATGGAGTCCTTACCTTGCTAAACACAAGTTTTCCTCTCCAAAACCAACTTTTCTCCTCTCTTTTCCCCTCCTTCTTCCTCCTTTGTTCTTGGTGCGTGTTAGGATGGTAAAAATGGAGTTTTTCAGACCTTCTTTCCTCTAGGATGATGGTCTGGCCGAGCCTATGGGTTGAGGATTGATTGAGAATGCCTTTTTGGCATTTCTCATCAAATAATATGGGAGGGGTCCCATTTCATTTATTAGTTTTGATCCCAGATCATTTCATGCTTCTCCCCCATGTCCTTGTGAGGCTCCCCTTGATCCCTTTCAGAGCTAAATACGTGGGTTGGCCCCCACTTATGTGGGAGGTCAACCCTTTGTGTACCGGAGTGTACAATCGGTCCCGAAAGTTGTATTTTCCAGACTGTTTTAAGCATATTTTATTTTATCGGGTCAAATAAAATATAACACTTGTTCCCAATCCTTATTGGTCCTTAGAATCAATATGATTCCCCAACTTTAATTTAGAAATCTCCGGAACCCCTTTTTGGGCTGTTACCTGATAAATTGCTGACACCGATAATTTGGCCCCGTTTGACCAACCGGTCAACTATATGCCATCTCCATGGCCCAATTAGGATATCTACCACCATATTCATATTATCTAGCCCAAGATTAATATAACATTTGGTCCCGATAATATCGGGCGGCCCCACCTCCGGTGTGGGCCCCACGTGAATTCTACTATTCACGTAATAGAAATGATAAAATTTACAATCACGTAAAGAATGCTTTTATACATTTCTCAAGGTTCAATACATAATTTGGTTTAGTACAAATACTCGGGGGCGGTGTTACAAGTTCTACCCCCCTTATTTGGGATTTCGTCCCCGAAATCCACGTGTCTAATCAAACAGAAATGGATATTGTTCCCTCATTAGGGTCTCCACTTCCCACGTTTGCTCCTCGACACGATCACTCTTCCAAAGTACTTTTACCATCGGCACCTCTTTGCTCCTTAGCCTCTTTACTTGTCGGTCTATGATCTTTACCGG